ATGGTCACTTAGTATGTAACTCTACCTACAGGGAAATAAGAGCAGAAAATCAGAAGTATGGGAAAGCAATGTTGAGCATACCAAAATACAGTACTTTATTATTGATCAGGAATAAAGTCATATATGTGTGTTTAAGGGTGGGGTTTTCTTGTTTATTTTGGTTTGGGTTTCATTTGTTTTAGTTTATTAAACTTTTTTTTTTTTTTAGCAATTTGTCGCTTTCATTAAGCATGGAATGTTATTTTGACTGATACTACTATAAATAGTATAACTAATATTGTGGCTTTTGTTTGTAAGTATAGGTCAAAATGAGGATGTAATTCATATCATGATTAAATATATATTCTGAATTGTATTTCTTTTGGTTCTGGACAGGATTACCTTGAAGTTAAAAGATTAATTTTCCCAAGATTTTACTTTCTCAGCAATGCTGAACTTCTTGATATTCTAGCTGACAGCAGCAATCCCGAGTCTGTGCAGGTAACATTCTCTGCTCAGCAATATTGTCTTAGCGATCTTCAGATCACAGCTCAATACCGTTACTGACATTCGTTTCTGGTTCACAGCCTCATCTTGTAAAATGTTTTGAAAATATAAAACAATTATTGATATGGAAAGAAGACATTGGCCCTCCTGCTGTAAAAATGCTAATATCTGCTGAAGGGGAAGGTCTCATGCTGCCAAAGTATGATAAATGTTATAAACTGTTTAGATTCCATACAATCTCATTATTTAAAATCTCTGCTTTGAAATTTTTGGTATATCATAAAAGTTTTCTAAGCAAACTGTTTCTTCAAAGATTATATCCTTATGCAAAGACACTTTTGCCTTTCCATATTTCCTACAATACATAATCTCAACTTTGCTTTTAAAAGTTGAGAAAGTAATCTTTAAACTCCTGGGTGCATTCTAATTTGCGCTTACATTTTGCTCTGTCATGAAACTCTGCCTTAAGTTTCCTACTCTCTTTTTAGTGCTTTCTCCCTTTTTGGTTTTATTATGTGAATGTAGTTAAGAAAATTTGCTATTAGGAGTTGTTGATGCTACTCCCACTACTGCTTCCGCTGATCTCTAGTTTCATTATGGTCTGCTTCTAGGCAATAATGACAAGCTAGGTCCTTCCATTACACTGGTTCAATTTGCCAGCCCCAGCAAGGGCTCCCTAACCTTTGGCAAGTGGTCCTGATGTAAAATGATTTTTTTTTTTTTTTGAGACGGAGTTTCATTCTTGTTGCCCAGGCTGGAGTGCAGTGGCACAATCTCATCTTACCACAACCTCCAGCTCTGGGTTAAAGTGATTCCTCTGCCTCAGCCTCCCAGGTAGCCGGGATTACAGGCATACACCACCAGACCCGGCTAATTTTGCATTTTTAGTAGAGATGGGGTTTCTCCATGTTGGTCAGGCTGGTCTCGAACTCCTAATTTCAGGTAATCCACCCGCCTTGGCCTCCCAAAGTGTTGGGATTACAGGCGTGAGCCACTGCACCCAGCCGTAAAATGATTTTTTTTTAAAATGCTGTGCCCAACCCTTCTTATTTACCAAAATCCCTAATCCAACCTTTCTGTTTAAAAGACCCAGTGAGGAAGGCCAGGCATGGTGGCTTACACCTGTAATCCCAGCACTTTGAGAGGCTGAGGTGAGTGAATTACCTGAGGTCAGGAGTTTGAGACCAGCCTGACTAACATGGTGAAACCCTGTCTCTACTAAAAATACAAAAATTAGCTGAGTATGGTGGCAGGCACCTGTAATCCCAGCTACTCAGGAGGCAGAGGCAGGAGAATCACTTGAACCAAGGATGCAGAGATTACAGTAACTCAAGGTCACACCATTGCACTCCAGACTCCAGCTTGGGCGACAGAACGAAACTGTCTCTCTTAAAAAAAAAAAAAAATACCATTGTAAAAGACAGTGTAGTGATTCCTCAAGGATCCAGAAATAGAAATACCATTTGACCCAGCAATCCTATTACTTGGCTATATACCCAAAGGATTATAAATCATCCTATTATAAAGACACATGCACACATATATTCACTGCAGCACTGTTTACAATAGCAAAGACTTGGAACCAACCCAAATGCCCATCAAAGATAGACTGGATAAAGAAAATGTGGCACATAGACACCATGGAATACTATGCAGTCATAAAAAGGATGAGTTTATGTCCTTTGCAGAGGCATGGATGACTCTGGAAACCATCATTCTCAGCAACCTGACACAAGAACAGAAAACCAAATACCACATGTTCTCACTCATAAGTGGGTGTTGAACAGTGAGAACACATGGACACAGGCAGGGGAACATCACACACTGGGGCCTGTTTGGGGGGTGGGAGGACTAGAAGAGGAATAGCAGGGGGTGGGAAGATTGGGGAGAGATAACATTAGGAGAAATACCTAATATAGGTGACGGGAGGATAGATATAGCAAACCACCATGGCATGTGTATACCTATGTAACAAACCTGCACAACCTGCACATGTACCCCAGAACCGACAGTATAATTTTAAAAATGCAAATATCTTAGTTAGAAGTACCACATTAAAATGTTAATAATTGGTACATAACAGAATGTGATATGAGCTTAAACTGAATATAAATTAATAATAACTACCATTTATTAGGTTAAAAAAATAAAAAGATCCAATGAGAATTCCGAAACTGTTTAGTAACACAATTTATGTTGTAAATACCATTTTACATGAAACTTATTTATTGTGTAAATTCATTATTTTGATATCAGAATTTCCTAAAGCACTTTCATATGTTTTCTGTATAGTTTTCCAAATTAAGATCTAGAAAAACCAAAAGGCAGTAGTAGTCCTTTGGCCCATGAGTATTATTAAAGTATGTAGAAAATTTAGTCTACAGGCTTGTCAAAGGACTGAAATATGAATTTAAAAATAATTCTTCATGATATTATTTTTGAAACAATTTTTAGGAAAATTCGTGTAAGAAGTGCTGTAGAACAGTGGCTGATAAATGTAGAAAAAAGCATGTTCGAGGTGCTAAAAAAGTAAGTACAATTTTCAAATCCTAAAATTACATGTTTTACATGTATAGACACATTTTTTAAAACTCAACTTACCTACTCATCTAAGAGAAATATCCGGAAAAGAATGTGGAGTCAACTCTCTTATGAAATGGGTTTTGATGGAACATGATGGCACATGATGACCAAATAAAAAATAATCATTTTTACAGTGTAACTGTCAGTTTGAGAGTGTTTACATGGACAAGCTTCAGATAGTTTTGTGTACGTTCAGATTCAACTGTATTCTATCACAAAGCTGGTCGGGATCTGAACTCTGCTCTGTAGGGCTCCAGTTTTAGCACACCTCACTACCTTGCATTTTGGTTCTACTTTTACTTCCTAGGATTGTTCATTTGGTTGGGTCTTTCTAATGTTCTCCTTTCCATATTTAAGTCTATCATTGCATCTGTTTAGAATCAAGGAAAAAACCTCAGAGTGTGAACTTTCAAAACTAATTTGACTTGAAGTGTTATGTTATATTTCTAATGATTCATTGTTGGTTATAGAAAGACCATTGACTTCTAGGTTTTCATATCTGTAGTTGTTAATATTGTTATTGAAGGCCAATACAAGGTTTCTAGCTCAGAGAAGATTATTAACTTACATAAATAACCATTCTGGCTCTCCTTGCCCTCAATTCTTGTAACCACCCAGTTGGTTCACCTTGCCTGCTGCCTAGACAGAGGCAATTTATCAAGATGGGGGAATTTGAATGGAGAAAGACTAATTCACACAGAGCCAGCTGTGTGAAAGACCAGAGTTTTATTATTGCTCAAATCAGTCTCCCGAGAATTTGGGGATCAGAGTTTTAAGGATAATTTGGCAGGTAGGGGCTCAGGAAGTGGGGAGTGCTAATTGGTCAGGTTGGTGATGGAATCATAGGGGGGTCAAAGTGAGGTTTCTTGCTATCTTCTGTTCCTGGTTGGGATCCCAGAACTTGTTGAACCAGATTACCAAATTGAGTGGTGTAAGCTGATCCAACAAGTACAGGATCTGCAAAATATCTCAAGTACTGATCTTAGTTTTACAATAGTTATGTTATTCCCAGGAACAATTTTGGGAGGTTCAGACTCTTGCAGCAAGAGGCTACATGACCCCTAAACCATAATTTCTAATATTGTAGCGAATTTTAGTCCTACAAAGGCAGACTGATTCCCAGGCAAGACAGGGGTCTTTTCAGGAAAGGGTTATTAATAGTTTTGTTTCAGAATCAAACTATAAACTAAATTCCTTCCCAAGGTTAGTTCAGCCTACACCCAGGAATGAACAAGGACAGTTTAAAGGTAAGAATCAAGATGAAGTTAGTTGTCACTGTCATAATTTCCTAAGTTATAATTTTTGCCAGTGCAGTTTCAATCTTACCCTGGGGTGATATGATAAGGACCAGATGTTATATGTGAGAGAGACTTCTATAGGCAGGAAACCCTGAAAAAAATGAATCTGGGCATTTAAGTAAAAAAGACAACCAGTTTTTCATTTGTTGTCCTGGAATTTTTCTGGTTAGACAATTATATCATTTGCTAATAATGATAGTCCTATCTCTTCCTTTGTAATTCTCTTTAAATGCCACTTTTTCATGTTGTTTTAAATGCAAATTTTATATAACATTAAAAAGTACAACTGACAGCATCCTTTTTTGTTCTTAATTTTATTGGAAAAGCTTCTAGTGTTTGACCATGATGCATAGGTTTCTGGGATATACACCTTTTCAAACTAAGGATATTTCATCCTATTCAGTTTGCAGTTTTAAAGAGATTTAATTTATTTTTAATTTATAATTGAGAAATAATAATTGTATATATTATGGCATACACTGTGATGTTTTGATACATGTATACAATGTAAAATGATTGATTCGAGCTAATTAATATACTCATCGCCTCACATATTTTTTGTAATGAAAACATTTCAAATTTACACTTTTAGCTATTGTAAACATACAATACATTATCATAAACTATAGTGACCTACTGTGCAGTAGATTGCTGAAACTTATTCCTCCTGTGTAACTGAAACTTTGTATCCTTAGACTAGCTTCTCCCCTTTCCCCATCCCTCCCCACTTTCATCCTCTGATTAACACCATTCTACTCTCTACTTTTGTGAAGAGAGAATGTTTTTTAGATTCCATATGTAAATGAGATCATACAATATTTGTCTTTCTTGGCCTGGCTTATTTCACTTAGCATACATAATGTCCACTAGGGTTATCCATGTTATCACAAATGATAGAATTTACCCTTTTTTTTGGGATGCCAAGGCGGGCAGAACACCTGAGGTCAGGAGTTTCAGACCAGCCTGGCCAAAATGGTGTTTAGTAAAGACTAAACATTTAGTCTCTACTAAAAATACAAAAATTAGCTGGGCATGGTGGTGCATACCTGTAGTCCTAGCTACTTGGGAGGCTGAGGCAGGAGAATCCCTTGAACTTGGGAGGTGGATGTTGCAGTGAGCTGAGATTATGCCACTGCACTCCACCCAGCTTAGGTGACAGAGTGAGACTCCATCTCAAATAAATAAATAAACAAATAAATAATTTTTTTTTCTATAGAGAATGTACAAGTACATTCATCAAATGTAACAGATCTTTGGTAGTACTTTATCTTACTAGAAAACATCAATAGAAGATTATTGTACTCCTAAGTCATATGTCTCACAAGGCTGAGTGATTGTCAGCCACCGTTAATTATAAGATGCTTCCTGATTTCAAAAAGATTAAAATGTAGAAAAATAACTGTGTCTTAGAATTTAAGAAGTAATTATTTTAAAGTTTACTTCTCTCCTTTGTTATTGCTTTATTTTAGTTTTGTCTGGGGTTAGGGACTTGTGTTCTTTTTGATAATGCTAATTTTTTTAAAGTATCTGGTCATTCTTGGTTATCTTTTTATGTTTGTACTGGTGAGGCCCTCTTCTAAAAGCAAATACTAGCTTCTAACTACAACAGCCTGCCTGCTGTGATTGCAACTGACAAGCAGGCCATGCAGAAGGAACTAGTCTGTGAGTAACTTGCCTTTTAGTGAATGAATTTTCTTCCCATATCTCTTGGAGGTCATGAACTGTTTGTGACATTCTACTGTGCCTCTAGTTCAGCACTGTTTTAAATATTCCATATACTTATAGTATATCAATGCAAATGTGGAGCAAGATCTTCATTGAAAGATTTTGTCAAAAGACAAATATAACTCTATGTTGTTTGAGAGATGTATAGCAATATGACAAAAAAGTTATGAATAAAAGTCAAGGATTTTTGATGAAACTGCAAACATTTTAAGTGAGAATAAAATTAAATGCCAAAGGTATTTAATAAAATAAAAATTATTTGTAATTGATGGAAGAGATATCAGTGGGAACACTGATACCACTTTAAAATGTATAAAAATTGTTATACACATATTTCTCCTCAGCAGCAATGATAAATAAGAAAACAAAATAGATACCATTTGCAAGCACAACAAAATTAAAAGATTCAGTACTTTATTTCAAATGTTTAAATACATTCTAAATGAATTTTAGAGTGATACATAAAAAGAAAGCCAAATTAGAAGAAAATAGATGAAATTTAGTGTTGAGAATTTCTAAGAAATTTGGTATCAATGGTTTAAAAAAAAAAAAAATGTGTCATTGACCTGTATGGAAAAAAATGCCATTAACAACATTGAAACCTATAATATTGATGCATATTAACATCTGTCTTAAAATTCTCTGGATATTTTTTATAAATCCGATTCTGTCTGTTATACTTAATTTTAGATGCTAAATACAAGGCTTTTCTGTTGAAACTCATCTGGTGGTTTTAGCCCAGTATTCCATTTTGTAGAAATGATTTTTTTTCTTCTTTTGTTTTCTTTTTTCTTTTTTTTTTTTTTTAATTCAGTCTCCATAGAGACTGTCAAAAATTGCCAGTGACAACTATATTTCAAGTCTTCATGGCAGGGTATTGGGAAAAGTTTTCAATTAGCAATAATCGTGCCTTGGATAAACCTCATTGGCTATGATACTGCAATTGCGCAAAGCTAGAAATGATTTTGATATAGATTTTTTCATAAATACTATTAGCAGTTCAGAGCTGATATGTGTCATCTCTTTGTGTATATTTTTACCATCTCAGAAACTCAATGGCTTTATTTAAAAAGTACAGATAATCTCAAAGAGGAATTTAAGTAATATGCATTATGCATGGATTAAGACTCTGTTACCTTTATTTGGTCTGATGTTCTACATTAGAACAAAGAAATCAGAGATCTCAAAGGAAAACACCCCTGTGACCACATCATGCTTGATCATTAAATGGCCACAAGCAGTGATTAGGTATAAATAACACAAATAAATGTTTTAATTTATAGATTTGTAAGCCAAGGGATTGAAGACTGGAACTGCCAGATGTTTTCCCTATGGGTGTTATCTCATCCAGGACAAGTGGTACTTACTGTGGTAAGTTAATGCTGCTTTGATGTATGTATACAGGCACACCTCAGAGATATTACAGGTTTAATTTCAGACCACTGCAATTAAGGGGATATTGCAATAAAGTGAGTCATATAAATTTTTTTCCCCAGGGCATATACAAGTTATATTTACACTATCTTTTGCTGTTTTGTTGTTGTTATGCAGCAGGAATGCAGTGGCATGATCTCAGCTCACTGCAACCCCACCTCCTAGGTTTAAGTAATTCTGCTGCCTCAGCCTCCAGAGTAGCTGGGACTACAGGTGCATGCCACCACATCCAGCTAATTTTTGTATTTTTAATAGAGACAGGATTTTGCCTCTGTCAGGCTGGTCTTGAACTCCTGACGTCAGGTGATCCACCCACCTTAGCCTCCCAAAATGCTAGGATTACAAGAGTGAGCCGCAATGTCTGGCCTCCTGTAGTCTATTAACTTCAATAGCATTATGTCTAAAAAAAATGTGCATGCCTTAATTAAAAATACTTTATTGCTAAAAGATGCTAACAATCATCTGAGCCTTCAGCAAGTCATAATCTTTTTGCTGGTAGAGTATTGCCTAGATTTTGATGGTTGCTGACTGATCAGGGTGGTAGTTGCCGAAGATTAGGATGGCTTTGGCAATTTCTTAAAATTGGATAACAATGAAGTTTGCCACATGGCTTGACTCCTCCTTTCACAAAAGATTTCTTTGTAGCATGCAGTGCTTTCTGCAAACACTTTACCCACAATGAAAATTCTTTCAAAATTGAAGTCAGTTATCTCAAACTCTGCCACTGCTTTATCAACTAAGTTTATGTAATATACTAAATCCTTTTTTGTCATTTCAGTAATGTTCACAACAAATTCATTAGGAGTAGATTCCATCTCAAGAAACTACTTTGCTCATCCATAACAGGCAACTTGTCTTCCATTCAAGTTTTATTCTGAGATTGCAGCAATTCCATCATATCTTCAGTCCCCACTTCTAATTCTAGTTATCTTGCTATTTCCACCACATCTACCGTTACTTCCACTGAAGTCTTGAAACCCTTAAAGTCATTCATGAGAGTTGGCATCAACTTTTTTCAAAGTCCCATTAATGTGGCTATTTTGACTTTCTTCCATGAACTATATATGTTCTTAATGGCCTCTAGGATGGTGAATCCTTTCCAAAAGGTTTTCTATTTACTTTTCCTAGATCCATCAGAGGAATCACTATCTTTGGAACACATAGCCTTATGAAATTAGTTTCTTTTTTTTTTCTTTTTTTTTTCCTTTTTTTTTTTTTTTTTTTTTGAAATTAATTTCTTAAATAATAAGACTGGAAAGTCAGAAATACTCCTTGACTCATGGGCTCCAGAATGGATGTTTTGTTAAAAGGCATGAAAACAACTTAATCTCCTTGTACATCTCCATCAGAACTCTTGGGCAATTGCATGTGTTGTTAATGAGCAGTGACATCTGATATGTTTTCTCTTTGTTCTCATTAGTTTCAAAGAACCTGTTGATTTTTGCCTTTATTATTTACCCGAGAGTCATTCAGAAGCATGTTGTTCAATTTATATGTATTTGTGTGATTTTGAGTGGATTTCTTAATCTTGAGTTCTAATTTGATTGTACTGTGGTCTGATGGAGATATTTAGGTAATATTTTGAAAGAAATCTTTTTTTCTGAACAATAGGTTCCAACAGTGGGATTAAAATATTCAGTAAACCATGCTGGAAACAGATGTGCTGTCATCTAGACTTTGTTGTTCCATTTATAGAGCACAGGTGGAGTAGATTTATCATAATTCTTAAGGGTCCTAGGATTTTCCAAATGGTAAGTGAGCATTGGCTTCAATTTAGAGTCACAAGCTGTATTAGCCTCTAACAAGAGAATCAGCCTGTCATTTTAAACTTTGAAGCCAGGTAATGACTTCTCTCCAACTACAAAAGTCTTGGATGACTTTGTCTTTTCTTCCAATAGAAGACTATGTCATCTGCCTTGAAAATCTGATTTTCAGTGTATCCACTGTCATCAATTATGTTACCTAGGTCTTCTGGATAACTTACTGCAGCTTCCACATCAGCACTTGCTATTTACCTTTGCACTTTTTACTAAGACAACTTCTTTCCTGAAACCTCATGAGCCAACTTCTGCTAGCTTCAAACTTTTCTTCTGAAGTGTTTCTTATCTCTCTCTCAGCCTTCACAGAATTGAAAATAGGACCTTGCTCTGGATTAGGCTTTGTCTTAAGGGAATATTGTGGCTGGTTTGATCTTCTATCCAGACCACTAAAATTTTCTCCATATCAGCAGTAAGGCTGTTTTGCTTTCTTATCGTTAGCACACTGTTCACAGGAATTGCACTTTTAGTTTTCTTCAGGAGTTTTTCCTTTGCCTCCACAACTTGACTGTTTGGCAGAAGAAACCTGGCTTTCTGCCTGTTTTGGCTTTTAGTATGTGTTCCTTATTAAGCTTGATCATCTCTAGCTTTTAATTTTAAAAGAAGGATGTGCAACACTTCTTTTTACTTGAACACTTAGAGGACATTGTAAGGTTATTAGTTGGCCTAAATTCAGTATTGTTTTGTCTCAGGGATTAGGGAAAACCCAAGAAGAAGGAGAGAGGGGGGGAATGGCTATTTGGTGAAGGAGACAAGACCCAAATAGCATTTATCAATTAAGTTTGCTGTCTTACATGGGCATCGTTTGTGGTCCTCCCAAACAATTACGGTAGTAACATCTAAGATCATTAATCACAGGTCACCATAACAGATATAATAATGAAAAGGTTGGAAATACTCTGAAAATTACCAAAATGTGACGCAGAGACATGAAGTAAACACATACTATTGGAAAACTGACACTGCTAGACTTGCTTAATGCAGGGTTGCCACAAATCTTCAATTTGAAAAAAATGCAATATCTGTGAAGTGCAATAAAATGAAGCACAATACAATAAGATATGCCTGTATAAGTATTTGGTTTGTGGCTACATTGCCAAGAAAGCAACAATTTAGAAAATAAATCATTATGAAGCGTACTCGTATCTGTAGCTTACTTTGAAATGCCTGAGATGGGTAGATGTATAGATTCATGACAAATATAGCAAAAAGTTAATGGTAGAATATAGGTGGTAGATATATAAGTTTTCATTGTATAATTCCTTCAAATTCACTATAGTTTAAAAAATATTCATAATGTAATTTTGAATGAAAGTAAAACTGTTTTCTTAAGGACATCACTATATTGTATTGCATTAGTTTTCTACTGCTGTTATTAAAAAGTTACTAAAAACTTGGGTTAAAACAACACAGCTTTATAATCTTATAGTTCAGTAGGTGAGAAGGCTAACCCACAGGTCTCTGTGGGCTAAGATCAAGGTGTCAGCAAAGCTGTGTTCCTTTCTAGAGGCTCTTGGGGAGAATCTGTTTCTTTGCCTTTTTCAGCTTCCAGAGGCCACTGGCATTCCTCGGCTCACAGACCCTTCCTCCATTTTCATAGTCAGCAATGTTGCATCTCTCTGACTATTCTTCAGTAGTCACAGCTCCTTCTGCTCACAGGTGGAAAAAGTTATATAGTTTTATGGATACATGTGTTTTATGGATACATTTGACCCACCCAGATAATCCAGAATAATCTCTCTAGTTCAATTTTCAATTCAATTCCATCTGAAAAGTCCCTTCTGGCATTTATGGTGACATATTCACAGGTTCTGGGAATTTAAAAATAAATATCTTTGCAGAGAGCCATTATTCTGCCTACTACATGCATATTTGCTAAAGCTAATTATTATTTTTCTGGGTCTCATAAGAGAGAGGGAATACTAGGAAGTTGTGATGTCGATAAAACAAAAATTGGCAGTTCTTTTGAGAAGTGTAGTTGGGGCCAGGGAGCGGTAAAATTTCCCCTAACAGCATGTATAGAATAAGAGAAGAGGGATAAGGAAAGACCCAAGAAACATGAACATCTAAGGAATGGACAAAAGAAAAAGACAGAAAAAGAGTGGCCAAAAAAGAAAAAGTAAATTATGAGAGTTGTCATGAAAGCTAAAGAGGAAGAAAGATATGTTTTTGTTTTTGTTTTTCTCTAGAAAAACTGGGTAATCATTTAAAAAAGTGAGTGGTCATCATTTTTAAAGATTCTACAGAGATCTGTAAACTATATTATATCTATCAATAGTAGTTTTCTGGAATGATGAAGATAGAAGCCATATTGCCAGGAAGTACCATTACCAAGTTTTTTTCATCAACTTTTAAGTTCAGAGGTACATGTACAGGATGTGCAAGTTTGTTAGATAGGTAAACGTGTGGTTTGCTGCATAGATCATCTCATCACCTAGGCCTTAAGCCCAGCATCCATTAACTATTATTCCTGATGCTCTTCCTCCCTCTGCTCCCCCAACACCCCAGTGTGTATTGTTCCCACCACCCATCACCTAAAGTTTCTATGTGTTCTCATCATTCAGCTCCCACTTATAAGTGAAAACATATAGTGTTTGGTTTTCTGTTCCTGCATTCGTCTGCTGAGGACAACGGCTTCCAGATCCATCCATGTTCCTGCAAAGGACATGATCTCATTTTTTATGGCTGCATAGTATTCCATGGTGTATATGTACATTTTTTTATCCACTCTATTGTTGGTGGGCCTTTATGTTGATTCCATGTCTTTGCTATTGTGAATAGTGCTGCAGTGAACATATATGTGTGCATCTATCTATAATAGGATGATTTATATTTTTTGTGTATGCTGTAATGGGATTGCTGGATCAAATGGTATTTCTGCCTCTAGGTCTTCGAGGAATCACCGCACTGTCTCCCGCAATGGTTAAATTGATGTACACTCCCTCCAACAGTGTATAATGTTCCCCTTTCTACACAACCTCACCAGCATCTGTTTTTTGACCTTTTAACAGTAGCCATTCTGATTAGCGTGAGATGGTCTCTCATTGTAGTTTTGACTTGCCTTTTTTTAATGATTAGTAATGTTGAGCATTTTTCAAATGTGCGTTGGTTGCATGTGTG